GAGAGTGGATGATCTAGTCAAATAAAAAAAATGAAATTAATGTAGTTTTTTTCTCTACACTAGTGAAAATCTTATCAATTAAATTTTCAACATTGAGAAGACGCATTCGAAGATTCTCTATAGATTCTAGAACAACAAAAATATACGTATTTATTCTAGAAAAATTTAAAAATTGATTTATTCTTATTTTACTTGGTTCTTTAGCATAGAGAGAATGTTGAGCTTGTGTTTTTGAATTATATCGAGCAGTTGATCATATACTTGGAAATAGATAAAAATCCATGTATTTTTACTTGAATATAAATCAATTAATAGGGTGTGGGTGTGGGTGTGGATATCTTCATTTATGAATACCCACACCCAACTCCACCCTCACACCCACACCCACACCCCATAATTTCGATTTTGCTGCAAAATAATCCTATTTCAATCAGAAAATTTGATACTGGATAAGTAACAGTATCAAGTAAAATAGTTAAGTCATGTTTAATGATAATCAAAATTATCAATCAATTTTAATTTTGATTTTGTTGCAGAAAAATCCGATTAAAATCAGTGAATATTTTTCACTGGGATTTCATAAGCTGTGATTTCAAACAAAGCACCTGAAGAGTATTCAACAAGAAGATGCTAGTCCCTGTTACTCACATATGTTAACGTTTCCTTTTCCTGATAAAACACTCGTCATCTCGACTTGCGCAACTTAAACTCGTTAAAAACACAAGCATATTGCTTTCAACTTCATGTCAACACCTTCAAAAAAGCAATTCCTCATTCCAAAATTTCAAATATTCATCATGAAAGCATGAAATTCGTTTAAAAAAATTATGATCTTTTAAGACGTTTTCATCATTTCATATTGAAACTTATATCAATCAGAATGTAAATCAAATATAAACATCGAGACTTTTCTACATCTACACTACAGTCGACATCTCTAAACCAAAGGTTCACTGCACTCTACATCAGCTGAAATGCATTCCGAACATTTTCATCAACCCGAAAACTCTATCAGTAATTCTTCGATTCGAATTTCCACTGTCTGTACACAAAACTAACTCATCTACCATCATTTCATTACTTCAAAAAAAAAGAACGAAACATCATTATTATTTATTATATACTCAACTTGAAAATTGCACACAACTAATATGGTTCAAAACAAACATAGTAAAAATATTTAGTCACGGAATCGGCAGGTCAATTTAGCTTTTTTCCCATACCATAAACCGGTTCTAGGACTCTTCGTTGCAGGACAAATCGTTGCAAGGACATTTCGTTGCAGGACAAAACGTTGTAGGGACAAATAGGCGCATGGACAAAACCTAGCAATCGTCAAATTTTGTATTCTACAATAATAGATAAGAAATTCAGTTTTCATTTTCCAATATGTCAACTATTCCATTCTTTTGAAATATTTATTATTCTAGAAGTATAACAACAAATCAACAAATCATTGTCTACAAAAATTCAGTAAATAATTTTTAAACTTTAATTTTGACGACAAAATATAAAGCTCATATTTTGAAGATTAAATTCATTTTCTGATATACAAATATACAGCAAATTATAGACTATTACCACGTTTTGTCCGTACGACTATTTGTCCCTACAACGTTTTGTCCGTGCAACTATTTGTCCCTCGACGTTTTGTCCGTGCGACGACTTTTTTACAACGATTTGTCCGCAACGAATTGTCCACAACGATATGTCCACGACTAATTTTCCTACAACGATTTGTCCTGCAACGAAATGTCCTTGCAACGATTTGTCTGCAACGATTTGTCCGCAACGATTTGTCTTGCAACAAAAAGTCCGGTCACCCATAAACCATGTCAACATCACGATCTTGCTAATTTTTTGTTTCGCGCAAGCAATGCTTTTATACAACCTTGAAATTTGGCTTCAATTTGATTGTTACGAAGATCTAGTGTTGTGAGTGTCTACGTGGAAAAGTAGAGATGCATATATGACATAGCTAAAGAGAGAATCATGGTCACCGTGTTATGTTGTAATGCGTCAATGATATGTTGTATTCCTTCGTCTTCGATTCCATTGTTACGGAGATCTAGTGTAACGAGTGTCTGTGTGAAAAAGTGAAAATGTGCATCCGAAATAGGACAAGAGAAAATGATGATCACTGTGTTATGTTGTAATGCATTAGCAATATGCTCTGCTCCGAGAGTTCCGATTTCATTGTGTCCGAGATCTAGTGCGGAGAGTGTCTGAGCAAAAAAAACGGACAAATATGTATAAGATAGGTGAAGAGAAAATGATATTCACCATGTTATGGTGTAATGCATTAGCAATATGCTGCGCTCCAGTTGCTCCAATTTTATTCCAGCAGAGATCTAATGTGGTGAGTATCTGTATGAAAAAATGAAAAGGTTTATATGAGATAGAACAAAAGAGAATGATGGTCACCATGTTGTGTTGTAATGCGTCAGCTATATGTTGTGCTCCTTCGTCTCCGATGTCGTTGTTGTAGAGACGCAGTGTAATGAGTGTCTATGCGAAACAATAGAAATGTATATATGAGATACGTGAAAAGAGATTGATAATCACCGTGTTACGTTGTAATGCATCGGTAATGTGCTTTATTCCGTTGTCTTCGATTCGATTGTTACGAAGATCTAGTGTAGTGAGAGTCAGTGTGAAAAAGAGTAGATGTGTATATGAGATAGGTGAAGAAAGAATAAAATTCACCATGTTACATTGTAATGCATTACCGATATGCTGTGCTCCCAGAGTTCCTATTTGATTGTATTGAAGATCTAGTGTGGTGAGTGTCTGTGCCAAAAAGTAGAGATGTGCATATGATATGGCAAAAAAAGAGAATAATAGTCACCATGTTATGTTGTAATGCATCAGCGATATGTTGTGCGCCTTTGTCTCCGATTTGATTGTCTCCAAGATTTAGTGTAGAAAGTGTCTGTATGAAACAATTGAAAAGTGTATATAAGATAGGATAAGGGAAAATGATGATCACCGTGTTATGTTGTAATGTGTCAGCGATATGTTGTGCGCCTTTGTCTCCGATTTGATTGTGGCAGAGATTTAGTGTGATGAGTGTCTGTATGAAAAGCAGAAGATATGTCTAGGAGATCATTGAAGAGAGAATAATGTTCACCGTGTTATATTGTAATACATTAGCGATATGTTGTGCTCCTTTGTCTCCAATTCGATTGTTGTGAAGAGGTAGTGTAGTGAGTGTCTGTGTATAAAAATCAAGATGTATATATGAAATAGGTGAAGAGAGAATGATGGTCACCGTATTATGCTGTAATGCATCAGCTACACGTTGTGCTCGTTCGTCTCCGATTTTATAGTTGTAGAGATTTAGTGTGGTGAATTTCTGTGTGAAAAAGAGAATATATTTATGTGAATTAGACGAAGAAAACATGGGTGTCAGTCGATCACCATCTTTGAAGTTTTTGTCTATGAACGAAATTTTTTTAGCTGTTTTTGTATATGATAGCTGGTACTAGTGAGTAGCGAACTGTATCAAACATAAAGGAAACATTATGCGTACGTGTGAACCGAGTGGTTGTTCATACGAAATCGTGATGCGATGAAAGATAAGTAACAAAAAATATACAGTTTTATCGTGGCAAATGCAGCCGTTCAATTGTTTTGTATTTCATATATTGTGTCGCACTTTTTTTTGACGGTAGAAAGAAGAACGACAATAATGTGGTGACTCTGCTCAATTGTGTACAACTTAATTTCGTCACGGAAATCATCATAAATATTCAGAAATTTTTCTCTGCTTCTGGCAATCGCGATTAGAGTTTTGTATCTGATGATAATGCGTGATATTTTCCACAGACTGATCTTGAAAATGGTAGCAGGTATCAGAATCATCGTTTTAGTTTGCACGATCGGTGGATAATATTTCATGCTATGGTGACTAGTTTCGATTCTACTAAACACTCATCCATTTACGATTAAGTATATAAAAATCAGTCGTATGTATTATTCATTTTCGAAGAGTAAAAAGTCTGAGATTAAACATTAGTTTTGTAAATCTTAGATACCATAATGATACAAACTGGCTGAGTCTTTCTGTGAGCAACATTTCTCATCAGGTTATATGGATATCGATTGAATATGAGGGGGTGTGCTGAAAAACGTAAAAAACCTAAGAGTGTCAAATGAATATTTTGTCATCAAATGGACGTAATCATGTCACGTAAAACTGATCATGAATTCGAATAAGGTACATTAACACAAAATAAGAAAAAATAGTAGTACAGATAAGATATTCAAATTCGAAGGATGTTTATTATAATTTGAATATTTTTTCGAATAAATTTTCGAATGCTTCTGTAGTTGTTGATGTACAATCTGGATGGAATAGTTTTAGCAGGATTGATTTTCACGATA